TGATAGTTGAAAATTTTCAATTTTAACGTCTAAATTTAATACGCAAAGTTGAATATAGAATTAGTCATATTGTCTATAATATAAATCCTATTACCATGAAACTTTGTAAGCAGTCTTATAATTTAATAAGCTTTGGTCATACCAAGTTTCATTAAGATTGGTCAACTTTTTCTACCCTACTAGGTCCGGGTACACAGTTATCGTCCTTTGATTTTCGTTGTCCACGAATATAGTCCCTAGTGTGGACAGTGTGTTACTTGTCGATTTTTTTTATACCCCTTCCAAATTTATTTCTCCATGTTTTATGACTCAAATAGTAAGTAGGGGGGTGAAATGACACTGTAAAAAAATTTGGGTCATGAATTTTAAAGTAAAGTAGTGATTTGGTCCAGCTGAAAAATGTTAAAAATTAGCACTTCGGAAGCTGTCAGAAGATTTGAAGACCCCCTTAACATGAAATTGTCCATATTTTGAGTTAGAGCCGATGAAGTTTTCTATAATTTTGATATAATTTGTCCCAAAAGTAGTACAACACACTGTAAAAATATAATTGAGAAAGCGCAGGTGGGATTTTTTTAATTTTCATTTATTGTCTAAAAGAAATGCACTACGAAATAACTGTGTACTCGGACCAAGAGATAACAAAATTTTGATAAGAAATCATACAATACACCTGATGGTACTAAAAATAGTAACAACGATACATCAACAGAGAACACGTGGTTTGAAGTGACTAAATTATTAAAATCCAAATTAATATCGGGTAGAAGACATTACTTGGTACAATGGTCAGACGGATCTACCCCCACTTGGGAACGAAATGGTAATGTTTCAGACGCACTTAAACAAATATATATTCAACCGTGATTCAAAATCGTTTTAAGAAGAAAACGACAATATTAAACATTGCACATGTATTCTATTCAATCTCATTCGTTGGAGGAACTGTCTAAGAGGAAGACTTTCAGCGTAGTGACAAAATTACTTTCTCCCGAAAACGTTATGTTGCCTATAATTTTGAAGTTACGGTACCTAACTTCGATCCTTTTATATTGTAGGCATGGCAAGGGTTATAGGAGTGATGTTACTACGTTTGTTAAGTGTACCTCTCAGTTCTGACCTTTTCAATGGGTGATGAAAAGGGTTAACTTTTGCAATATTAGGTCTGTTTTAGAAAAATATAACTCGAGACGTAATATAATGTGTCTCTTATAAAAGAGTATAATTCAAGATTAGATAATAAAGCAAGAACATATTTAACCTAGATCCCGAGTAGTACGAACTCTTAATTGATGTCCAAAAGAATTAAGTATGGAATTGAAAATTATATTAATAAAATTGAGAATGGAAACGAGGAAAATGTCAAGGAGACACAATCACAATCAATGAGCAAAAATAAGAGCCCAAGGCCACATGCTCATAGTCTACTCGAGTGGGCAAAATGATTAAATCACTCTAAATAAAAGATGTTTATACATTGTAGCAATTGCAGCATATCCTTTTCGTTTTTGTTGTAGTCGTTTAACTAAAAGAAAAAATATTAAAAGCGTAGTCGACGAAGATATTTAAAAAAAAGTAAGCGATAAATACATAATACAATTTAGAGATTGAAGTGCAACCTATATAAATATATGAGATTATAATAGAAAATAATTTGTCAGACAATTAAACATGCGTTGGTACTTTGTTGATAAGAACGTAATGTAAGATGGTCAGAAATATAAACATATGTTTTGATAAAGAATCAAGAGTACAATACATTTTTTTTTTGGCACGCGAGAACAATCAAGAAACGTTATTCTAAACATTTGCCTTCAGAAACAGGTTGAGATTTCTGAACAATCTATCATATAGACAAATAGTTAGATTAACTTCAATAACAGATCAGATTATAATGATAACCTATATATTCTTAACACAGATTTTATTACAGTTCTAACGCACACAAAGGTGAGTAGAGAAATAAACGAATTAAAAATAATAATAATAAAAAAAAAAAAAAATCAATTTAGTAAGATAAAAAAAAAGGAAATAAATAAAAAAAAAAAATGTAAAAATTATATTAAACTGGAGGAATTCATACGATCAAGTCCGATCTTATAAATAAATAGTCAAAAATTACTAAAAATAAAATCATTAGTATAAACTTTATAACAAACATATTAACTTAAATTCACTGAGGTACAAATGACTAAGAGAGAGAGAGAGAGAGAGTGATTTTTTTTTTATTCCCTTACATGTGGAGTACATAAAACACGGATCTCCATATGACTCATTGTCGCGAGTTGGAGTACATCCAGAGACAGATCTCCAATATTTCGCAGGTGGACCTCAGTTCCACAGAAGAGGATCGGCACCGTTTGATTGTTAAAATTTATTATGATTGTGCATGCATTTTATATTTTTATGTAAGATAAGATAATTTTATTGGTTCAAAATCCAAAAGTATAGGATTGTTACCAAGACTTATGTATGTGTATGTATTTATGTTTCATTTATTGCCAGAAAATTTAAATAGATAAAAATTACCTTACACAAAATAAATAGGATATTAATAGTGTCAAAACAAAAATGTTATAAAAAAAATGAAATCAGGAGATTTCAAACTTAACAAGGGGGTAATGTTATGAAAGGATTTAGGACGCTTTTAGAAATAATTGGAAATTGAAATAAAGTAGATCTTAGTAGAGCAAAAGTATGTGTTTCTAGTTTATCAAGATAGTTAAAAGTAAATTGAATATAAATTTCAAATAATTCGTTGATATAAGAAGAAAATACATAAGTTAAATAGAACAAGATTCATAAGAATAACGAACTTTATCTTAGATGCAAGATAATCAGTAATAGTACAAAGACAAGAACCTAATTAAATAAGTTATTTGGCACGCGTAAAGAAGGTTATTAGGTTGCCGGACAGATGTATGTCGAATTGCTGTTACATCCAAGGTTATAACCATATTCTCAGATTCATGAATATTCAGTAATACATTAAGGCACACGAGAATGTTATTAATAACCAATCAAACAGCTGAGATACGAAGATTGATGTATACAAGATAATAATTAAAATTTAACAAATTTTTAATTATCTTTTATTATTAAGATCAGAAATTAAAATTCTTCATAAACTATTATTCTTTTTAATTTTAGAAAACATAATGCTGATGCTTTTCATAAACAAATAAATGCATTTTGCATATTATGAAGTAATAAATGTTTTGGCAGCAAATTCCATCGTTTGCAAAAGAAGCTCAATTTCGGCTGGGGAACAAGAATGTCGGGTATTCAATAGTGACTATAAAAGCAAATATAAGTCTACTGCCCGTACTATCCTTGTTCCTACCAGCAAATTGAGTTGTCTTATTTATTTCATTAAAAAGGTAAGTTATATACTGTTACTTAAACTTATTTATAGAAAGAAATTAATTGCTATATAATTCAATAAATATAAATATAAATATATATATTCAGATATAGCATTTAAGTCATTGCGTTTCATGAGGTTATTCACTCATGTATAACAAATAGAATGAACGTAGTTTACAAGGTAATTCAAGCAATATTTGAAATAGAAATACATGTGTTATTGTCAACTGATAATGTTATTTATTGTTAATCTGTATGATTTATGCACTGCGATATTTTATGATCAAAAAGAAAAGAAAAGAATAATTAAACTATCCTTGTTCCTACCAGCAAATTGAGTTGTCTTATTTATTTCATTAAAAGGGTCGGAAGGCGCGAGTCCGACTCTCGCTGCCAAGCCAGTCCATAACAACGACATGTAGTCCCCAGATGCCCAGACATCTTTCTACCTACAAGAACTGTAGAAGAACATAACAAACGAGAGAAGGGAAATCACCATCATGTTTATCAATAGAGAAGTCCTAAAGCACAATCATAGTCCCACCTTAACAAGTGTTCACCCTGTGAAGTATACAACAAATAGGACCATAAAAACCGTCACAACACAAACATAGACAATAATGAATGCAAATTTAACTACTAACTAGTAAACAAATCTTCTTCACATAGGCTTAATAATTGAATATCTGTAGATATATATATACAAGTCTAAATTGAAAACAACGTTCAAACATATGATTGCATTGGATAAAAACCGCAATTTTTATACGTGTGCATGCAAAACAAATTTCTTTGTAGAGGGGTCTAAATACAGCACAAACAACATTTTCCAAAAGACCAAAAAAGTGAAATAGTATATTTTAACAAAACGCATTTGACTAGCAGGTCAAACAACGGATGTTCTTTAACCCTGCTGACTGCCATGGCGATTGCCAAATAAACGGATCACAGATGTAACACAATGGATCTTAATTATATTAATTTAATACCAAACAGATAACAATAAACTTGCGGAAAAGATGGTATACCGCAAACATGAGGTGCAAACATTTGTACACCATATCCGGATTTCGACAATTAATGTCTCTTCAGTGATGTTAGGAATCGAAACGGTATTTGGTAGGCCATATAATTTACCTCAATTTGGGATTGACTCTTGAATTTTGAAGATTCGAAATAGGATGAACGGATCATATAAACCCGAAGGCAAATATAATACAAGCCCAAACGAAAAAATATAAACAAGTCTAAATTGAAAACAACGTTCAAACCTATGATTGCGTTACATAAAAACCGCAATTTTTATACGTGTGCATGCAAAACAAATATATATATATATAATCGATCTATATATTATATATAATGACGACCTTAACAAATGTTCAGAGAATCGAAAATATATCTGATAAGAATATACGGTTAAGAATATTTACCTTTACAGGATTCCTTCATTGAGGTAAAGTCAGTAGTCAGTATTTGCAAAATATTACATAAATTATCGGGAACGGAGGTATTTTGTTTTTATCAAATAGCAAAGTCTTTTATTTTCAGATGTTTTGCTGTGTACACAAACACTCGAGTCCAATAATAAATGAAGTATATTTCCTATTTAATTAAATTTATCGATGTAATACCTGTCCATGTACATGTTGAAGTTGGTACCACGTGTATCCGTCTGCTGTATGAATGCCACCATTGAATTTATAACATTCGCCGGAATGTACCTGTCCAATTATATGACCATGTATACTGGCTGCAAAAATGCAAGCATTGCACATGATATTGTCAATTATTTTCAACAACAAAAATTACTTCAAGTTGGTTACGTTTTTTTTTTTTTTAAATACTCTTTCTTTCTTGGTAAAGTAAATAAGACGGAAAGGAAGATCTTTATCGCAGCCTGTATTTAATAGCTGAAAGAACATAACCAATGGTAAATAAATATACGTTTTTATCGTATAAGTGTAACCAAAAATTGATTGCAAATTGTCATATTTATACCACGAAATACTATTTTGTACCATGATCATAATTATCAATTAAAGATGTCGCATCAAGCCGGGTGTCGATTGAAAAAGAAAAGCGTAGACGTCGAAACCGTTAAACGTAAAATAAGTTCTATGAAATGACCTTACACGTGAAGCTAAAATATAACAGAATATATAGTGATCATAGTAAACTTCAAACATATTATACATATACGTATGTCATTCAAATGATTACTAATGAAATGGAAATGCTAATGTTCCATTGCAGTGAACATATAATTTTGTTCATCGTACTCCTTTCATCATTTAATTCAAGTTAATGTAATACATTTGTACCTGTATGTCTTGCATTAACGGTGCTACCAGTAACACAGACACATGTTCCTGTTGCAATGTGACCAGAGATAGACCCTCTGGCTATGGCTACGATTACGCTAAATATCAGAAAATATCCGAACATTTTGCTGTCCTTTGTTCCAATGAACTATCTGACTGATAAACTGTCTCTATATTGGTCTCATGATTACGTGACTAATCTTATCTTGTGTGGTTTTTTTTTATGACATGAACCCTCATACGAAATGTCAAAGAAAAATTTATTTTTGAAAAAAGATGTTAAATTACAGTAACTGAATAATAATTGAAAAAATCTAAGATATATAAAAGTGAGGAGACGAAGTATGATTGCCAATGAGACAACTATCCACCAGAAGTGCAATGAAGTGCTAGTAAGCATTTATAGGCCACCGTACGGCCTTCAACAATAAAAAAAACCCATACTTTTAAAAAGGCCCCGATAAGAAAAATGTGAAACAGTTCAACTTAATTTATAACAAAACAATATACAAAAAAAAACCAAATATGACAGACATGAACCAACGACAACCACTATACTAGATGCTCCTGACTTGGGACAAGCACACAAAGAATGTGGCGGTTTTAAACATGTTCGCATGTGAGCGTTAAATCCCCCCCCTAAACTGGGACAGTAGTGTAATAGCACAACATAAGTACAAACTGTAAAAATCAGTTGCAATTGGCTTAACTCTAAAGATCAGTACGAGGCATAAACACCACTTACATAAAATACAATAGACAAAAAGCACCAAAATAAAAGTACTCGCAGTTACTGATAGCTAGTGCAAAGCCAATTACAATTAATAAATTATGTTCTCCCAGACGAAAGTATCAATCAGTACACATCCAATGGATTAAGTATAAAGACGTCATAAACCGTCTGAGAAACGCGTGACCTTGTGCAATTCCAAAATATAAGTAAACAGTCTAGACAGGATGTAGGATCAAGAGTTCGCATAACTGTACATGTATAGCAATATATAATTATTTAGTTGTGTTTTCATTTTCATAAACAAAATCAATGTTAGTACCAATAAAACAATATTTAGATATGTTACTACTGTCTTAAATTGATACATTTTTAGAATAAGTTTATTCAAAGGGTCAATTAGTTTACATGGATCGTTTTTAAATTTACGGGGTTTATAAACAACATAACTGTAAAAATTAGGATGTGATATTCTGTTTTTAATTAGAATTCTACAAGAACAGGCAAACTGTCTATCTAAATCTTTGTATCTATGAAAAAAATTGGTAAAGGTTTTAATTAATTTATGGTAACGAAATCACTTAACCAATTCACCAGTTATATACATAAATTACGTTCATTGAAATCTAAAACTCGACTACAGACACGTACATCTATTAAAATCACTTAAAAGATTAAATCTGGTTACGGAAAGTTTAATCGAAAATAAAGGAAATTGACGTATTAATTCATTGAAAAAAGCCTAAACAATCTTGGCAAAATCAAAAACAAATGAACAGCGCTTTCATTGTCATTCGTCATCTCAATGACCAAAAACACATAACGCTTGCATAATTCCACTTTCTCCAGATTTCCTTAGATGGAAAAATTAATTCTGTATCACTTGATTTTTGTTCAGGCTGATATCCAGTTGAAATTAAACAAAAGAAAAGGAACTCTATGACTTTATGAGAGAAGGTAAAAAATTGAATTGTTTACATCTGTTTCTTTAAAAGATTAATGTAGGTGCATGATTTAGAATGTTTTGCATCTTATATGCGTGTTTATACTCAATATATAGTATGGGGCTTCAAGATATTTGTAAACGTTTGAATTAAAGATAAACACAAAACAGTAGATTTCGGTAGGTGCAAATTCATTTGGGTCTTTAATATGCATATTCAAGTCTTAGATGCATGATTTTTTTTATTAGTTGTTATTGGCTTTGAATTAGATGTCAGTAACTGTGGGTACTCTCAGATCTGTACTTTCATATAAATTATTGTCCGCAGACACTATTTCATAATGAAGTACTGTCCAGGACAATATTTAATCATGAAATAGTGTCCTTGTCCGTGAAATTTTGTCATCTCCTTCCGGATAATATTTCACTATGAAATTCTGTCCATGACAATATTTTACTATGAAATACTGCCCATGACAATATTTCACTATGAAATGCTAGGCTCAAGCTAGCAGCCACTCGCTAGCAGCCACTCCGCTATCAGCCAGTTTTCAGATATGTCTATAAACCCAAAAGTTGCATAAGACTCAAATGTTTTTTATACTATATGTAACGCTTTTCAATTTAACAATCGAAGACACTATGCATGAGTTTTAGGGGAATATCCAGGAATTTTAAAGATAAAAGGGGGGGGGGGGGATTGCAAAAAAACGATATTTATATATATACGGCCGATCGGAGGGATACAAAAAATTCTTGGACAATTTTATGCAAAAAAAAGAAGAAGAAGAGGGTGGCGTACGCCCTCCACGCCTTATTTGAATCCGCCACTGACTTTTAAATTTTCATTTCTTGATCAAGAATCAAAAGAAATAATATTTGTATAAGGGTCGTAAAGGGGGGGGGGGGGGGTGGTGGCACGGAAGAACGCTAAATAAAATTGCCATTTCACGATGAACGAAACAATTGAAAATTTCTTGCACGTTGATCTTTTTACCGATTTCACGAAACACGGTGAATAACGAACCTTTTTCACGGCTGCACGTGAAATAAAAATGGCAAAACACGTAGCACGAAAATAACCCTTTACCAACTTCTTGTATATTTCATCATCACACAGCGCTGCACGTTGAAAGGGTGAGACATAGATAAAATATATAATACAGGGGCGGATCCAGCCATTTATAAAGGGGGGGATCCTAACCTAGGATAAAAGGGGGGGGGGGGGTGGTTCCAGCTATATGTCCCCATTCAAATGCATTTATCGTAAAAAAAAGGGGGGGTTTCAACCCCCGGAACCCCCCCACCCCCCCCCCCCCCCCCCCCCCCCCTTTTGGATCCGCCACTGGAATAGAACACTACAAGAGTGGAGAAATAAGAAAATACTTTTTTAAAACACAATGTCAAGCAAGCATTTTCTTAACTATTTAACCATCAAAAGCATGGAAATGTGAAGTACAATTTTTGTTAAAAATCTTTAAAATTTATGATTTACCTCCCTTTAAAATTTACTACTTTAGAATAATTAAAATATTAAGTCATCTTTGATGCGTGAAACAACAAATACTAGTATCATAAGATGTCAAGCATTTATTCATTAAATATAAATGATCATGTAATAAACAGTTACAGAAATTATGTATAATTAAGCTAATTTCAGTTTCATTTTATGCCTATTTCATGAGACTCATTGTGAATATTGATGAAGTTCAAATAATCCTATTTACAGCTCAGGAATCTCGATCAGCATTTACTGATTTGTACAGAAAAAAGAGAAGAAAATAAATCATTACTGTATCACAATATGCTTTCATTGCTATATTGACAATATATTAATATCAGACAAAAGGAAGGGACTACTATTCCATATTTAATTCGGTTGGGGAATTTTAACTACGAAATCAAAAGTAAATTTTCGCGCAGCTTTGCCGGCCCAAAAAATGAGCCTGCATAGAAACCGGTAAAACATGAATGACTTTTGTGAAGCTAGCCGGAGATAACAGCCGGCCACTTTCTATCTCACCTGCAATAATATTCATGAGCATGCGATAATATTCATGAGATGACCTGGGTTCGATGAAGTGTTGAAAGAAAATATCGATTATTAGGATAAAATCATGTTTGCTGTTTATATTTTATATTGCTATAAATAACAATAAAATCTGAACTATATGGGTGTCTTCTTCGAGGTCTGCGTTTACTTAATCAATTATAAAAGGGGAACGCTTACGGATGACCGTAACTCGTACGGGTCTAGGGAGTAAGTGCTTAGGGGCATTAAAGAGGCAATGTTTACCTATACCTCTTCCACTTCCTCTGGCATCATGGCCAACGTGGTGAATCTCTTAGTTTGGCAAACTGACTATAGTTAATTTAAATACTAGGTATCCACAACCCTATGCTGACAAACTCGTACGGGTCTATATCATACGTGCTTAAGACCATTTCAGAGGCAATGTCTCCCTCTACCTCTGGTACCATGGCCAACGTGAAGAATGTCTTAGTTTGGACAGTCGACAATAGTTATTTGGACTATGTGACACACCAGGTACTCCTCACCCTATGGTGACAAATTCGTACGGGTCTAGGACAGAAGTGCTATTGGCCATTTTAAAGGCCTACCTCGATCTCTGGCACCATGGGTAACGCGAATTATGTCTAAGATTTGCCAGCCGACTCATTTTTCCAGACTTGTGAACTTAGTCATTTTCCAGCAAATTAAAAGAGGGTACAATTTTTGTGTAATTAGCTCGTCCTACAGTTTGAAGCTAGTCTCCTTGAAGCTATTATCGAATTGTTTAGGATTTTTCTCTCATTTTTTAAGACATTGGAACTCATTCATTTTTCAGCAACATTTAGTCAAAACAATTGCAATCCGACCATTAAGCACTGTGACCTATTTTTATGAGGTAAATTTAGGGTGGTTAGGGGGTTATTTATGTCAGACATTGACATATGTTGAAGATTTTCCGTTGGTTGTACAACCAGGGATTTTTCGTCAAGGAAGCCTTTGGTCTCATGACGATAAAGAATTGCCGTAGATAATTAATTGCAGGGCGAGGGAAAAGTGAACCTTGAGCCTTTTGGTCCAGGAAATATAACGCTATTGGATTGTATTTGTACATATATAGTGCAGATAAAAGCATTGCCGTATTGATTCTTCTTTTACAAATAGAAATAGGGTTGATAGGTCAGTTATGTAATTCCGATATTCTATGTTCTATATATTATATATGGTTAAGACATTCCGTGAAGTATCCTGTCTGAGCTTCTTTAAATAAACCATAAATCACAGCCTTTTATTTGCATCTAGGGCGGTAAAAGGTATACCACTATACAATACTAGAAAACTATATGCCACTAGCTTTTATTTGTACCTTTTGTGAATAAAAAGCCTTCTAGTATCGATTTGATGGGGGATTAAATTACGGTTGGTATGGTGTCAGGTATT